TGCCCTAACCGCCTGGCCATGCCGGGCCATATAACCCTGAGTACCACGTTCTACCAACTTACCAACTGTAGATTACAAAAAATAAAAACATCCAAATTACACTTTTGAGAAAACCTACGGAAAAAACAAAATCTTGTTTTAACCGAGCTTTAAAATAGTACAATAAATAAATAAATTTGTCTTTCGCCAAAAGCAGTTTGTCGCATAAACAATTGGACCACTTACCCAAAAGTACGGCACAACTTAGCATAAGCCTTAGATATGCCCGTAAGAGAATCCACCAAAGCACATAGACATTTCTCATGACCTGTGAGAACATGACCCATCATAGTTGAAATTAAATGAAAAACAAAATTCTGCAGTTCTCACGGAAATAATAAATGGGTAATAGATTCTAATGATTCCTGACATAAGGAACAATAATCAGTTGGATGCAAGACCATATGAACCAGTTTCACATTTGTTGTAATTGCATGATGCAAGAATAAAAAATGTAACTCACCTAACCTCAACCCCACAAAAGGATCGCAATGAGACATAATATTTTTCCCCACTCAGTACGTAGTACCACAGAACCCCAAAGATTATGTACTACCGAAAATTACATACGAACCTGTAATATACGAAAGATATACTTCAAAGACAACTCCACAAAACGAAAATAACCATCACCAGAAGGCTTGTAAATAGACAAGGAAACTATGGTAAGAGCTAAAGATCAATAACTTGTAGAAGTAAAACCCTCCAAGTTTCAGGAAAATAATAATGATCGAACTAAAAGAAACATTAACCTTCTTGCACAAATCAATAATAGCCCTCTTTCTTAAAACTATGGAACCACTTCATATAATAAATCCCGAACTCGTACAATCCCAGCATCTACAAATTCCTCAAAATAAACCAAACGTTCTGGATTATCTGTTAATATTGGCTTATGAAACAAAAACTAATTAAAAATCCCCATTGAATCAGAAGCAAGATCCATGATACACCCACCAATAAAAAAAATGAAATCCCGAAATATTTCCTAAATAAAAGGATTTCAAGTCCGTAACAAGTGAGCAACAATCTGACACCTCAAAACCAGCTCCCAGACTCGCATACGTATTGATAAAGTAGTCTATTAATGAACCCACAAACCTCATGACAATTCTGGTTAACACATATGAGAGCACAGACAAGGGACACCTCTGACCGTTAAGCGGGGTAAAGGACGTCTCACAACATCTACTTATAGTAAACCGTTTTCTGTGGCTGTACTACCATACAATAGATCGTGTCACTCACGGATACAAAAATTATCCGCCGTTTGTATTTATAGCTTTAAATATCTGCATTCACGATTGTGACTTAAAACAAGAGTTAATTATCTTGAAACATGTAGCTAGAGATAAAGGATTTAATCCCGAAATTATTGACATATTGTACAAAAAACATATGTGCTAAGATTCCAAGTGTTTTATAGGCAATCCCAACATGAAGAAACATCTACGTATTACAAAGCAATATTCCTCACACATTAGTTCAGTGTTTGAGAGCGAAAAGTTATTATTTTTTACTCTTCTCATGAAACGATTTGCACAAAATTATAAATCGGCCCGGCATGGCCAGGTGGTTAAGGCACTCGACTCCCAATCTGAGGGTCGCGGGTTCGACTCCCCGTCCCACCAAACATGCTCGTCCTTTCAGCCGTGGGGGCGTTATAATGTGACGGGCAATCCCACTATTCGTTGGTAAAAGAGTAGCCCAAGAGTTGGCGGTGGGTGGTGATGACTAGCTGCCTTCCCTCTAGTCTTACACTGCTAAATCAGTGACAGCTAGCGCAGATAGCCCTCGTGTAGCTTTGCGCGAAATTCAAAAACAAACCAACAAAATTATAATAAAGACAAAGTAATTAAATCAATACTCCTTGTAATAGAAACACACACACAGTGTCGTTAATGATTACATCTTGTCTTGTGAAAGAATGAGATGATTTTTATTTGTTTGTTTTAGGGAGAAGCTGCATAATGTTTCATTTGTGCTCTGTCTACTGCAGGGAGTCAAACCTCGGATTTTGGCGTTGTAATTCCGTAATCATACTGCTGACCCACCAAAAGACGAATAAGTTTCTCGATTCCCAATTACATTGTCCCTCTGGTCGGTTAGTCGAAGCTGGAATCCCGGGTTCCATTCTACGCGAGGAACAGATCTCGCACAGCTTATGAAGCTTTAAGCTAATAAATAAACAAACCATGAAAAGCAAACAAAACTAACTGGTTAGATAATGATGTTTGTGAACGTCCTATTTCTTTTAGTACTGCTTGTTTCTATGAATGTATTGTATAGGAAAAATAGTACTATTTTATATATAATCGGTAGAAACAGAAAAAAAGGGCCAGAAGAATGCTAATGTACAAACTTTTATATTATGTTTGTAAGAACCAACTACGTATAAAAGGTGTCTTATAACTGTTCAAACTGTTAGGATACTTGCCTGGCTCTCATCGCACATCGCTTGCGACCACTTCAAAGCTTCTGATGTTGCAGCTCTTATATTGTCAACACGACCTAGGTGAAATGCTCGAAGACTGGCACTTTCATAAGTGGACACAAGTTTTCGGTGTACTCTATAATAAGGAACAAAAGTATTCAATAATAATAAGACAAGCACTTGCGTAATGACATTCCCAAGATCGAGTAATTTAGTGTTAACCTTCTAAATAAGACTTAACAACTGGAATGTTAGTAAAGTTTTCAATTTACTCAAGTAAAATTATTTACAAGCAGTCAATCAACTTGTTATAAAATTTCTTCGAGTAATATTAACCATGAAGAAGTCAATAAAATTTCTGAATAATGTGTTTGAGTAAAGTTACTCGGAAGCAGTCAATAAACTTTCTGTATAATATCTTCCAGTACAGTCACCCGAAAGTAGTTAATAAACATTTTCTAGAATGCCTTCTTGTAAAGATACTCAGAACCAGTCAATAAACTTTATTTATATTGTCTTCAAGTAAAAAATGCAGGACATGCCAATAAAATTTCTATATAATGTCTTCGAGTAAAGTTACTCAGGAGCAGTTAATAAATTTCTTTATAACGTCGTCGAGTAAAGTAACCCAGAACCAGTCACTAAAACTTCTGTATAAAGCCTTCGAGTAAAGATACACGGAACCAGTCAATACACTTTCATATATAATCTCTTCGAGTAAAGTTACCCGGAAGCAGCCAATAAACTTTCTACTGTTAGGCATCGTTACCAAGGTTATATGAATAATACGGTTATTTTTGTCCGATATGTTAAGTAATGTATAGTTTTCGCGACAGACATGTATTAACTATTTCTTATACGTTTTCTTACATTATGCAAAATTCATCTGAGGGATATAAAAAAGATTCATAGTCTAAAATATTAATGAGTACCAAGAAGAAATAGCTGACATGCTATAATGTGATATACTATTCGCAGCCATATTTTTTCTTCTACTTCTGTTGTAAAAATCTATAAAATTTAGTTTATTTTATTGCTCTCAACTGAGCCAGATGTGGCCCTTGTCGCAAACTCGCCCTCTGTACTTTGGACTGACGTCAAAATTAAATTATAGTAGCCCAAGAATTTCCAGTGGGTGCTGACTAGCATACATATTATTTTGTGTAGATTAGAACAAATAAACAAACAAATATCAAAATCTTGAAGAGAATAATACATTATATATATATGTATATATATATTGGTATTATTCTTATTTGTACACACATCTTCATGAACACCACAAAACATATTTGTGAAACAAATAGCTAAAACTCTTAGTTGCTTTTAAACAGAATTCATTGTAGAAATAAATATTGTGGACCACTCCCTGTACTCAAAACAAGTTAATACTCATCCTAACTAGACGCGTACTGATGGTTCGATTCTGGTTGTTAGTATTTATCCTAATTATACGCATATTGATAGGTCAGTTTTGTTTGTTGATATTCATCATGATTATACGCGTAATGGCTGGTTTATTCTGGTAGTTAGTTTTATGTAATAATGCCGAGTTGGAAGATGTATTTAAGCTACTCTTTAACAATTTTTGTATTAATTCAGTTAATTAACTATTAATGATTTGGAATATTGAGATTTATTTGATATATATTCTTAAAAATTAGGAACTTAGCAACGCCTCAATATTTTGTTTCTTTGTTACGGATATTCTCGCAAAGCGAAAGAAATGGATATCTTCGTTAGCTATCCTTCATTTTGAACTGATAGACTAGACTAGAGGGAAGGAAGCTAGTACACATAATCTACCACTAACATTTGCAATCGAATAGTGGGATTGGACTGTTACTTTTATAATGCACCTACGGTCCCGAAATGCAGAGTGCGATTTTACGGAAACATGACACGAATCCTGGACCCTGAGATTCACTGTTCGAAAATGCTAACTATTAAGTCTTTCCCGGACACTTCTTAAGATATACTTTCAGCATACAAAAATATAAAATGATAATGGGTTATAATCGTTTCAGTGTAGTCTAGCGACAATTCTGTGTCTTATACCTTTTTTAATTTTGAGTATCTGTTGCTCTAGAGCACTTCAATGTGAGATTGAAATTTTGTGGCATCTTAAGTAGAGGGTAATTCCCCTGAAACTTCCTAAAGTTTATTAGTTTTACATTCCAGATAAATAAACATGCATTTTTTTAAACTGTGTATCTAAACAAAAGCCTGGCACTGGGAGAGGTGTTAATTTATATAAACGTGGCAGTGTAAGAGTGAAAAGAATTAGTCAATCAATTGGATGTTGCCTTTTCTTAAACAAATATATTACCCAAGTGTTGGTGAAGTAAATAGAATAGACTACAAAAATGTTTATTTGCTCAAGTGCATTTCAAATTTCTGTTGGTTTCTGTTTCGCTTATTGAAAAGCTACTAAGGCTGTTTTCTGCCATCCCTAATTTTGAACTGCTGATCACAGGGAAAGGAACCGGACGTCAGCATCTACTGCCAACTTTTGGGCTACTCTTTGCTAAGATTATTTATTCTGTGGTTGTTTAAGTCTTTTTTTTTTGTAAAAGAAATGTGCTCCAGAGATCTCAGCTATCCAAAAACCTATTGTTGACGTTACTAACCTAATATTTATCTTAATTTTTAACTTATTTTACCAGATTTCTACTCATACATTCTGAGCAAGCCTAAATTAGCTTTATTTCCAAGTACATCCGTCAGGTCAGCAGAAATATAAAATTCTGCAGACGTAATACTAACGTAGTTATTACTCTCAAAGAGCAGTCGTAACTTTCCTAATAAATAACGGTATTTTCTAAAACTACAAAACGATAAGAATTCAGAAGCTAAATATGTTTGATCAACAAAGTAGCAGTACTACATACATCTGCATAAAAATATTTGTTAAAATTTTATATTGGTGCTCTTTAAAAATTATTAACAATAAAAGTTAGAGTTAGACCACATTTAAATACTAGAGTGGTAAACAGTTTTGTACAAATTTAGGTAATAAACACCAAATACATAACATTGGATATGAATAAAATAAGGTTCGGTTCAAACAAAAAGCAGAAACTGCAGTTCGTTTCTTAGCACTGATTTGATGTGATGTTAAACACATTTAATAGGGCATATTTGATCTTTAGGTAACAACTCTTATAACACTATAAGGTATACATCCTATTCTCAATAGTATAAGTACAGCACGTTGATGGTAATAATGGATCCACCCATCTCAATTAAATCTAACTTAGAATCCTATGCTACACTGTTCCGTATAATTTATAAAGATCACCACCCATTATCGGCCAGTTGTAGTAAGAATGTCATGTGAAAAGAAACTGAGAACCATCAATGAGCAAAGGTTATAAAATGTAGGACTAGTGCTAACAGTGTTCGAGTGACATTTGCCCACTCTTAAATACACTGTGGTAATATGTTGATAAAATATAATACTATTGAACGCTGTAATGAGAAACATTGTTTAGTTACAAAAAATCTCTTAGTTAAAGTAAGCTATTTAAAACTGTTGTGAAACGAACCCGAACACCTGGCATTGAACATATAGTCCAGGATTTAATAAGAATTAAGGTCTGTAGCGACTAACGCATTCACAGTATGCAGATAACTCGGTGCTGTCGGGTTTTATGGAGCCCATAGCCGCATGCCACACTTTGAATGATATTTTTTAGATGTTAACTCTGATGATGGAATTTAAGGAAATTCCGAAACGTCCGTATTAAAGATGTTTTTTGGTATTGTCGTATATTTCATATTAAATTCATTATACATCTGATGTTTGAAGGAACTACAACGTAAAAGTTGCACTAATTGTTGTAGAGGAAACAATTTCTAACCGATTATGGTATATCAGTATACTATGGAATCATGCAATACAAATTATCTATATAAAGGTGTAAATATATTAAAATACATAAGTTACCAGTATTGTAAGAGGGATGTCACACATTTCGCAAAGAGTTTAAATTTTAAACAATTCGTTGAAATGTAAGGTATTTATATCCTGATCTAACTGTTAGCGTAGTGTCATGTATGATCAAACAATTAAACACAAAGATATATTTAGCCTTGTGGTATGAGTTATGTTACATCTAATGAAATACATTTTCACAAAAAACACTATTAACTTTCTCTAGTATCATAATTTGTCTATTATGGAGAATGCAATTGTCGTTTTGAACATTTTAGTTTATTTCTTATTTAAAAATAAAGAAAAATTACGTATTTCAGGTTTCTTTCTTCGGAAACAGCATCAAACATCAAATTTAAAGGATACAATTGCCTGAGACAGGCAGTAATGAATGATAATTATATCATTATTATCCTGATACCGAGATTTAATTTGAATTTTGTTTTTCCCAGGCCGCTTTGATAAATGAAGTTTATTTCCCACATTAACGCAGACAAACTTAGTTGTAGTAAGTAAGTTGAAGTGCCAACTGGATGTAATATGTTCATACTTACTTGTAGTAAGTAAGTTGAAGTACCAACTGGATGTAATATGTTTATACTTACTTGTAGTAAGTAAGTTGAAGTGCCAACTGGATGTAATATGCTCATACTTACTTGTAGTAAGTAAGTTGAAGTGCCAACTGGATGTAATATGCTCATACTTACTTGTAGTAAGTAAGTTGAAGTGCCAACTGGATGTAATATGTTCATACTTACTTGTAGTAAGTAAGTTGAAGTGCCAACTGAATGTAATATGTTCATACTTACTTGTAGTAAGTAAGTTGAAGTGCCAACTGGATGTAATATGCTCATACTTAGTTGTAGTAAGTAAGTTGAAGTGCCAACTGGATGTAATATGTTCATACTTACTTGTAGTAAGTAAGTTGAAGTGCCAACTGGATGTAAGCATCGGGACTCATCTTGTTACTTTTTATAAACTGTCTGCCGTAGTCGCTGAATCGTAGGATATAAAGATCCAGGTCACTAACAAGTCTAAAATATGAATAAATCATTAGTAACACAAGTTTCCAAATTTTTTGTATGTGTTTACAATTCATTATAACATTGCACACTATATACATATCAAAAATAATCCAAAATACATGATCAAAACAAACAAGTTTATAATTCACGGAAATCACGGGAAGAAAACGATTGGCATATAAAATTATCACGAAGTTTTAACTTTAGCTTTTTTCTAGCATATCCATTACTCAGTATCGTAAAAGTGCCTAAGCTAAGAGGAAGTGTTACTCGGTGAAATATGTGTGGTTTACACCACACAGTTTTCATAACTTAAAAATAACATAGGTTGTGTTTTAATAGATTGAATTTTGGCAGACGATGTGTGATACTTAAAGTACAAACTAAATCAACATATCCTGTTTTAATAAATAGAAACAAAAGATAACATTAAAGGCTATTGATTTTTATTATGTAGAGTTAATACTACGGTACAAATATAATATTTTCTTTTTTTGCAGAATCCTGCCAAATTCGTTATCTGGGTAATATTCCTATTTAATTTAGTGTATCTAATATTTCAATCAGAGCTGATAATGAAGCGTGCCTGAGATGCTTAGATAAGGTGATTCTAAGCCAGATTTTTTTACAATTACCTCAGCAAAACACATTTAGCATATGGTGCACATTTTTCACAAGAACCCACTTTTTTCTTCACACACGCACACACACACATATATATATATATTTAAGACAATGGTTATATTTCGATTTTTAAAGCATGACCAATGTGTCGGAATGCGGTTGCATCAAAAAGCGTCACGTATAAACAGTTATTAACGCTATTAACGATTTAATTGGGCCACTAGTGGAAACAAATTTCTTGTAATCTATTTGTTTGAAGTTAAGCACAAAGCTACACAATAGGCTATCTGTGCGATGCCCATCACAGGTATCAAAACCCGGTTTCTAGCTGTGTAAGTTCCCAGACATACCGCTGTGCCACTGGGGTCCTTGTAATCTAATTTAAAGTATTATATACGTGTAATATAACTGGATGAATGTTGTAACAGCAACAAAAAGACAATAAACTGTGTTCGTAGGTTTGAAAATGCCATTTTTATATTGTACATGCCAATGAAATTATAAAACGCAAGCCTGTATCTGGAAGCAACGTTATTTACATACATTCCGCTAACCCAACATTTTAACCAAATAATACTCATAATGAACTCTTCAACAAATGAAACGTTAGAGTACACTTATTGTAGACAAAATAGTGCAATATGTATGTGAAAATACAGTAGTTTTTCTTAACCTTTTGTAAGACGTTTCGATTGCGGGTGCAATTATTATAAATTTCACAAAGCTTTGGCTAAAATGTAACATAAAGTAACTTATTCTAGAAAGCTCGGAATATGATCCTAAGGTTCATGGTTTGTGTCCCGTTTCTGTGAAAACGCTCTCCATACTTTCGGGCTATGAGTGTGCTAAGAGATAGACAGGCAAATCCCACTATTCAGTTAGGCAAGAGTAGTCCAAGAGATGGCGGTCAGTGCAATTAACTAACTGCCTATTCTCTAGCCTATAAGTTCAAAATTAGAGTCAGTTGTTTCAAAAAATAAAAAATACCATTTCGATATAAAGAAAGGTTTGAAAATTATAAACGTAAGCTTAAAGACACACAGAAGTAGTCCCCCAGTGGGTCAGTGATAAGTTTACGAATAACGCTAAAATACGGGATTGGGTTCCCTTTATTAGACAGAGAGTCTTTATAGTATTTTGGGTATTTGTTAGCTGACTACTCAAATCATAAGATATATGTGTTTATATACTACAATGAATAACAATATGAATTTTAACAAACACTGCGATAAAGTTAATTGGTTACAGTCCGATATTCCGAAAGGCTATAGTTCCGAAAAATGAACGTAAAATCAATTCCACATGTAGGTCTAATATTCATTTAGGTTGTTGTATTACATAAACAGTAGTATGTGTATAATTTTATATTAGGAACATAAGACGATAAAATTCTTGTAATAATTCCAGAAACCTATATTATTGTTACCTGTAATTATAGCTTTCTCTCTCTCAAATTAAATTTCGTGGAACATCGCATATTCTGGTAGAAATTTTTGGGAATGTCGGTCTGTCCCCATTTAATTTCATGGTCCTTACTCCAAGATCACACAATAATTAATAAACTCCAATGTTAGCTACATTACTTGACACTTTAAATACTGAAGTGCTTACGTGGCGTAATGTAAACTTACTAGTAGTACATAATTTTTTGTCTTTTCCTATTGCTGACAGGAATTTGAAGAAATTACAACTTTTCAGTAGTTTTTTCTTAAACTTTTGTTAGACGTTTCGATTGCGGGTGCAATTATTATACATTTCACAAAGTGTTAGTTCTATAGAATCTCTAATCACATGTACGTACAATGTTGTAGTTTGTATGATAGTAGATTGAGGATATTGAAAATAGTTTGAGGAAATGGTTTGTTTGTTGTTAAGCACAAAGCTATACAGATGGCTATCTGTGTTCTGCTCACCACAGGTATCGAAACCCGGTTTATAGCGTTGTAAGTCCGCAGACATACCGCTGTGCCACTTGGGGGGGGGGAGGGGAAATAGTAATTAAAAATGTACCGATTTGTGTGCCTAAGTGTTTGTTAATGATAGATTCGTTATATTTAATTAGTAAGGCTCTCTTATTCTTCTATTATTAATGCCTGGTGTATGTTTTAGGGTAGTAGCGTTTTGGATTGAAAAATTATGGTTGTTTTTATTCATGCGTTCCTGCTCTTGAGGAGTTTTTGGTGTTATTTTATTCGTGTGTCAACTTCGTGGTTTATTTCAATCATGTAAAAGGCCGAACAGTTGTTGCATTGTATTTTGTAAATGTTTCCAAGAGGATTTCGTTCGTTGTATAGTTTTATCAGCATGGAATCTAATACTTATGTCAAGAGAATGCTTTCAAGATCTCTTTAAGGGGTCTGCTAACATTTTCTACAAAAAAGAAAATAAATAGTGCTTGTAATTAGGTTAGTTCGGTTTGTGTGTATGTGTTTTGGGTTTGCTTGTGTATTAATTTTGTGTTAACTATGTTTTGTATTTTTTTTGTAGTGTAATTGGTTAGTGTTAACAAGTACGAAAAATTTGGCCTATTCTATGTCTTAATAACGGTATGTAATATGTACAATTATAGCTCGCATGAGAAAAATGAAGTTCATTCTGAATTTAAAATACAACTTGGAGATATCAGTTGGACACTATAAACGCAGTGAAAATCTAAATTTCTGAAACTAATACAATCTTTAAAACTAGAATTCTACATCTCTACATTTTATTATGACGTAAAATACCCACCTGTTCATCTTCTTTTCAGCGTCGTTTATTGTGCATAAAATGTCATCAGAAAGTTCCCAATTCAATTTAATTGGTGACTGAATGAATACTGTTGACTGACAAGTTTCATCAGGTGGAGGGGTCTCTCTGAAATAATACCACAATATCATGCGTTAGATAAACGAGAAAAATTAGATTGGAAGTGAGCAATCGCTTTAACCTCTTCTACTGACTTGGAATTAAAACTAAGTCTTTGGTTATTATGTTTTTTCTCATATCCAAAAATATTTCGTTACACATAGATTTGCCTTCAGAACATGAACGTGTTAATAATAAATCGAATTCATCGTTGTCGTGAAGACTTGTAAGTTAACTCACAGGTTAGCTGTCATAATAAACTTACCATACACACCCACATTTTATTACCCTAACAAATCTGTCTTCACGAAAGTGCCAACCAGTTTGCCTTTGGACCTGATTTATGTGAAACCGAATAATGATTTTATGCAGTGGGTAAAAAAAAAAAAAAAATTATACATGAGAAGGATAAGTTGTTTATGTTATTTATTTATTTTTGGCGTAACGAAATATATCAAAATTATGCTTGAAATATGTTTTATATACGTAAAAAAAGAAATTAATACTTTCTTAACAATATTTAATAGCTAATGAGGAATGAAAGCTGGCTTGTTCTAGTTCTTAACAAGGAAATTTGGTGCATGTGCAAATAAAAAAGTTTGCTAGTGGACATTGAAGTGTATTCTGACTCCTGATTCACAACACTAAACGAACTAATTAGATAAAATAACATCTGAAGTCAACTATAATTTAAATCACCGATGCTTTTTGTTTATCCAGGAACTGTAAATATTGTTCCAATGAAGTATAAAAAGATATTTTTAACACGCAAGTAGGATTACATGTGTTACAATTACACAGATAATGCACATAGGTTTAAAAATAATTAAATTTCCTGGAACAAAACCATCTAATTTGGAACGTTTCGAAGCTTAAAAGACAGACCCAGAATCATTTAAAAAAATCTAATGGTGAACATTTCTTAAGATGTTTGAAATCCACATTAAGATGTATTATTCATGCTCATTAATTTTTATTTGGTTTCTACTTAAATTGTAGAAAGTTCAGGCAACTCATATACTGGTCATTGCTAGATCCCTAAAAACAAAAAATAAAAGCCACTGTACCTCTTCTGATTACCAGTCAAATATTATAAATTTAAAACAATCAGTTTACAAAACACAACGCTGATATCTATAAAGCTTGAATGCGTGATGAAATTGCGCGAAATTTAAATCTTTATTGGAAAGTAAAAGAAGACAATCAATATCGTGTATCATTAAACATTTTTTTCAAAATCTGCGTTATTTAAAATTCACACTCACGTCATGTTAATCTTAATACGAGTCCATCAATTTTTTCTATGTTCTTATCCGTGAATTTCTTTCTCATTCCGCCAAATTTTCCTTTATTTCTTTCAATGAAGTTAGATGCAATAAATGTATTTATTTTTCTTTCTTGGCTATGAAACTACTTTTGTGTTTAATAGCAATATTCAATAGCTTCTCTTTAAATTTTTAGTTGATATTCCACTTTCTTATTTTTGATGTTGCAATTCACTTTTACGAATATTGATATTATCTTATTTTTTTGCATTTAGTTAAAAATGACAGTTGTAGGCCTTTTTTTTCAACTTAAACATTTGTCTTATAAAACTTTTTTGCCATATCCAACGAAATGGCTTCATTATTTCAAGACAAGAACTAACTAGATAAAGTTTTTAACCATACTAAAATAAACATGTGATATGGTGACTGTGCATGCCCTAATGACAAACCATAAACTACTTAGTACGTGTAAAAGTACCACCTGGAAATATCAAATTTGAAAAGAACACGTCGAAAACAATCATATGTAGGCAGTATATGCTTCACGTATATGGATGATTCGATGGTTATCTTTGGTTCTGCCTACTCTTTTTTTTTATATAGCAAATAATTTACGTGCGTTCACTGTATTAGTTGCTATAAGGCTGAGTCTATGCAAAGATTTTCAACTTTTCATTCAGTCACTACACATTTCAACTCCTTACTTTTATACTGGAACTGCAGAAAACAGACTATTATATGTAACACAAACGGATGACCACTATTTGTTAATTCTGGCGTATCACTATAATAGGGTACCTGTTGTAAGATTGAATCAAATATTCGCAGGTGTAACTGAATGCTATTTAATTGTACAGATGGTTAGAAACAGACTTCACAAGGCTGGTCTCTTTACTATGCCAGACGTCCAATGAGATGCATTTCACTGATAGCATGGCACACACACAAAACTCGGTTGCAATTGTGGTAAAATAAGTCTAGTGAATCTATAGAATGTAGAGTATTATTATCTGTTTATTTTTTTTTTTAGATAAATCATTCTTCAACCAGATAACATGCATATACTCAATGATGAGAAGAACGAAAAAGTACAACTGACACCATTTTAATCTATTTATGTGAGTACATGACAGAAGTGAAAGTATGGTGATGGAAATATCGACTTCTATATCCTGCAGAATAGTACAGTTAATTGCCATACTTTGTAGAAACCATGTTCTTTGACCCTGTTGTTGCCATATGCTAGTGCAATTACCCTGATGCCAATGAATAGTAAGGCCCTCCTATATTGAGAAAAATAGGTGGAAACATTTCTTGATTGCCAAGGAAGTTAGCATACAATTGTCCCACAGAATGAATCTCTACTTAATTTGACACTTTTTCACCAAGCGGTTATTGCTCTCCCTACATATTTTGAAGATACTCATGTAGTAAAAGAAACAGCTTTTGCAATAGCTGTGAACATTCAATCCTCATATATTGTCTTACCACACGATGATGGAATCATGCACTAAAACACTTCTTCATCAACAGAAGCGGTCTGTAATCCTTTATTCATATCTTGCTACATCTAGCATATTTATCACTGACTTTAACCGCTTTTAAGCTTAATGCCACTTATAACAACAGTTACAACAGGGGTCACTTTTGTAGTGAAGAGGAGACATAGTGATGTGCTGTACAGTTTTTATCAGTGGTTTGGTGATGAGGAGACATATGTTGGCGATGTGTTGTATTATTTTTATCACTGTTTTATTGTAGAAAAGACATATGGTGGCGATGTGCTGTACTATTTGTATCTTTTATAATACTCATAGCATTTAGTCTATATAGTGTTACGAAGAGTTTTCCGCCCATTGGACAAATGTAACGACAAAATTTGTTTACAATCACTGCTTTCTCCTATTGTTCATAAATCGTGTTTTGTGTATGTTTTGTTTGTGTTAACTATTATCGATAACCGTTATAGTTTGTTTTCATCTGTTTGCAAACTATATTTGATGAAGGCAATTTATTAAATTCTCAACTACCCTTAAAATGAAAATGTATAAACACTCGAAAATTCGTGTGATCAATAATTACTAAGTTACTTTAAGATACAGTTTTGCATATATATGTATAATGAAAATTGAACTGTGTTGATTAAACTTAGTTTTGTTTTATGACAATATTTTGGTGAGTTTAATGTGTAATGTGTTATTTAAATATTTCGTTAATTTCTTGGTTGTGTTTGTTGATGCGGTGGACCTAAGTCAAGCTTTGTTTAGTGTTAATGAAAGCTTTTGATATATTGTACTTTTTTAGATATAAAACTTAGCATTTCGCTACTTAATGACAGTAATGCCACTTTATGACTTGTAACTGGTGGACAAATTAGACGTGTTGCAATGAAATTGCTGCATTTTTTGATAATGAAATATTATCAAATATGAACTTCAAATGTTCTATAAAGGAAAGGTTTATGAATTATTAGCCGATGTTTCAAAGAATAAACTCTATTAGATTTTCACCAATAAACAAATGTTTGTAATAATTCATGAACGTCTATGGCTAAACTGAAAGTAGTTTTCTGGTAACACTGGAACATAATTTCTTGGCAGAATTTTACACCCTGATTTAAGTAAACCTACTTGCTGGAATTAGGTAGTGAAATATTCCAATACTTATCAGACTTAATATACCTTTGTCAAAAGCTTTTGCAAACTCATCATCGAATTTCAACAATTTATTAATTCAAATTCAGAAAGTAAATAAATAAGATTGGTTTGTTCACCCACTCATTTAAATGTGGTGGCCCGGCATGGCCAGGTGGTTACGGCGCTCGACTCGCGGGTTCGGATTCCCGTCACACCAAACATGCTCGCCCTTTCAGTCGTGGGGACATTATAATGTGACGGTCAATCCCACTATTCGTTGGTAAAAGAGTAGCCGAAGAGTTGGCGGTGGGTGGTGATGACTAGCTGCCTTCCCTCTAGTCTTACACTGCTAAATTAGGGACGGCCCTCGTGTAGCTTTGCGCGAAATTCAAACCAAACCAAACCATTCAAATGTGATACCAGGTAGCCTCACTCTATGGTAATATATTTATATTTTAAAATTTTGCTCCTTGTTCATAGCTTTGAGAATCAATTCAAATCATCACCAAGAATTCATATTTTTCCTATTTCATCGTTATTTTTGGCAAAGTGATGATGTTCAGCAGTTTCCTATGGTGATCAAATTTAGGATTTGATCGTAAAATTTGTTTTAACTGTTAACAAAGAGGCTGTATTCGAAGTTTTCTGGTGATGTTGAAAGCAAGTTTGAAACTTAGAAAAAGACGCTAAGCACTTTGCTTTCCCAAACAGACCAAGACAAGTAAAGTTATGAAAATTTGAACTACATTTTTTATTTACTATTTAGTGAGAGTCATTAATTCATACCGAAACTTGTTGGTATTCTTGAATTGATAGACACTAATTCGAATTTATGGAAAGGTGGGTGTTTCTGTTTTGACTATTATTTTTACTTGCAGTTCATTTATAACAACTATTAATAATTAACACTACTGCTTTTTCGAATAGCACACACTGACTAGCATCTTTATTAGATTTGTTTGCTTTAGTATTTTCGCGCAAATCTATACAAAGCGCTACATGCGCACATTCATCACTAATATTTTAATTTAGGGATTTTCAAGAATTAGAAGAGTGACTAATAACAGTATTTCAATCACAATATATTCATCATAGTCATTATCAACGACACGTTTCGCTCAATCCAGTACTCCCCAGTCCGTTTGAGATACAACGAACATATTGGTAATCATATATATATATAAACGAATTGTTACAACAACATTTGTTATGGCGTGAAAGCCTTTTACAATCTGGCGAAGAATGACCATAAATAATAATGCTTGTCATAAAACGTTAGTGTTAGGCCTATTTTATCCTTTAACACTACATTCTTTATGTAGTCTTTTGGGGAATTTCAAGAATTAGAAGAATATATAATAGTAGTATTTCAACCTTAGTATATTCTTCATATCCATAGTGATAACCATAGTGACGAACGTTTACTCAATGCTGTAATTTACATTGTAACAAGCTATTTTTTTGTGATAGGAAAACAAGGTCAATCTATGTCCACACACATAATATCCACTATACGTGGATATGGGCTTCCAAGACCACATTTAATCAGATCAAATGCCCATAGGAGCTGCAGCAGGTGTCTTCAGAGGCTTGTGGTTAAAAAGGGTTACTGTGATCCCAAACTCCTTGTCCATTTTTCTCATGAAACAGTCATTTATATTAAAGGGTGGCTGGAAATATGAAAAACTTAGGTTTGTGAGCCTTTGTTAACTTAAAATACTTGTTTTTATCTTTTTAGTTATACCATAAGATACCTCCAACTTTATCAGAATGGTTTTCCTGCAGTCTCTATATGACTGTAGTAACATTATGGATTAAGATCCCGATTAAATTCACTTTCAATATAACAGAAACAAAACTACTGAAGTAAAAATATAACCCGTAAATATAACAGTAAGTCTAAAGATTTACAACGCTAAAATACGGAGGTTCGATTCCCTGCGGTGGGCACAGATAGCCCAAAGTGGCTTTGTCTTAAAAGAAAGAAAGAAGCAAACAAACAAACCCCCTCATGGGTTTTAACCAGTACGTGTAAAACAAGCAATGTAAATTCTCCTTGGCGTTTTACTATAAATTATATATATATTCTATAAATATAAATATATAAATTATATAATTATACATGCTTTTAAAAACGTATTTAATTGCCTACAAATTCTACTGTGAAGCTCTTCATGATATGAAATATAAATAAATAAAATTCGAAGGGAATTTGTCATATGTTGTAAATTTATAATAGACTACTCTTCACACTTATGTATACATATCATGAATATATAACTGCCCAGGTTAAAGGGTTATCCCATGCAAAGTGAAACCTTTCAAAAGGTAACAGGGGAGATTAAAATTAATGTTTACTAACAATCGTGAAATATAATTAATACAAAACATAAGTTGTCATGAGGAGTTATGATTTGTGTTGAATGTAGCTTTACAAAAGTTTATCTGATTTAAAGTCTCTGGTATTATTAGTATTATTTTAGTATTTTCTTCTAAATGAATTCTCTAACAGGAGAATTTCGCAATATATTTCAAATATACTCAAAAGCATGTGACTATGTTTATCACACTTTACTGATAATTTTGACAGAGGGAAGCTTTCATATGAAAATCAGGTGACACAATACATCCAAATGAAAGATTATGGAAAGCTCAAGACAGGATAAAACTGAACACTGGTCCATAAGTGATATAAGTATAAAATAATTTCACAGTATCTATACATATATTCTTATGACAAGTCTCAGATTTGAAATCCCCCTCATGAGGATTCTGTGTCAGAAAGAGAGCTGATACATACCTTTCCCAAAAATGATTAATTTTGGGTGACATAATGCTGCTTACAAAACTCCAGACAATGTGAATATGTAGTTCCGGTACATGAATCTTCACTACGACGTTAAATCGGGTGTACGTTTTACATGATTTGCTGCTTTGCTTATTTAGTATCGTTTCAATATAGCATATTAAATCTCTGTATTTGCATAAACAGTAAACACTGCTTGTATGGATGAAAAAATCTATAATTATCTACTCTTTCAAAGGCACTGAAAGCCACGTTTTCACCAATGAATGCAGCAATGGCATAATGGGTGAAGGGAGTGAGGGTGGGAGGCAGGTCAGACAAATGTCTGATGACCTTTTAAATTTGTTTGTTAGCTCATGTTGTAACATGTAAACAAAAAAGTAATAAGAAATAAAAGTAAAGGATTAATCATACAAAAGTTTTTGAACGGGATATTTTGATTGTTTTTAATTGGAATGTTTGAATAGGTGAAATTATGAATAGTATATGGAATTCACAAACAGTATCTTACATATATATATATACTCACATATAAGTTAGAAAATCATGCATGAATCTGACAACAGTGATTCCTTCCGACACGGAGTGTTCAACGACCAGACCGCAAACTCCATCACGACTCACTACAAACTGCAAGATTTCAGAAATTGAAATTATACTTGAAATACTTCAAATTTACATTCTACAGCAGTATTAATATTGTCATAATTGTTCTCAATTAAACTAAAGGCGATAGGTACACCGAAAATATAAGAAATTATTACATATTATTCTATCTCAATGCTTTCATAGTAGCACATTTTACAAAACGGATCAAATATAAGATTATATCAAGAAAATACCGAGTAAAAGTTATATAAAGTATATTAATATGATATCACACAATAATATTGAAGTACCTTGAATTCATAGCACTTGGGCTAAATTCTCCTGCAGAAGGAGATTTTATATTTTAAAACTTGGAAGAAGAAGAAGCTTTAGTTACTGATGTATATATGTATTATTATTATTATTACTGATATTTCTGAAATGTTCATATTGTTTCACTACTGCTTGTCAAATTCTATTTTTTATCTGGAGTTTACAGAAGTAAGATATTTTAAAACGATTTTGGAACCTCTTCACGTAATTACAGTACTGGCCGCCATGTTCGGTGATGCTCTACCTGATGACCATGCATTTTGAAATGTTGAGAATAACCGTGCAGCATATTTTCCATTACAAAAGGCTCCGTGGTAAAACTGTTATGTTTAAAATACACTACTCTTCCCTGTATGCTTTCCACAATCCAACTAGTGTACGAGGAGAACAGATTCCAAGCACCTATTTCAATAGTTTGATTGCACATAAATCCACAGGAGTTGCATCTGGCAACTTGACTTGTATGTCTTCATATGAAATAGCATGGATACCCGTCTTATTCTCCAGATGTTTGAGGTATGTGACATTTGAATGGACATGTTATGGAAGCAGCTTATGCACTCGTTACTCGTTACTTTCGCGGATGGAGATCATTCTTTCTTGATTATGCTGTCTTTATACTGTTGCCTGCGACACATGGAAGTCCTTTGCCACAGAGTTTTTGTTTGTAGATTTTCACCTGTTACAAGATGCTGCGCTTTGCTTATCATGGCTAGGCTATGGCTTGTTCTAGATCTTTTCTGGATTGCTTGATGCCTCAAGTTGATCCATAATAATTTGTTTCCTAATGTCATTAAGTATAAATAATTTTCCCCATTTTGGAAATTTTAAATCCCCGATATGTTGGTGAATGCTAACAACCAAAATTGAAGGTTAGCTTACCTAATCTGAGCCCCATATTGTGTAAGATCTGGTTTACAGTGAGTGCGGCATGGACTGGTGGTTAAGGGTTTTCAACTTGCAATCTGCGGCTCACGAGTTTGAATCACTTCACCTAACATGTTCGTCCTTACAACCATAATGTCAGTATAATATGATGATCAGTCTCACTTTTCATTGGTAAAGAGTAATCTATCTGGTCTATCATTTCTAAATTAGGGATGGCTAGTGCAGCTAGCCTTTGAGTAGAATTGTGTGAACTTCAAGAAACAAACAAACAAGCATGTTTTTGTATTATACGTAGTTTCTTAAAGTTTTCTTTGCAGTTTCGTTATGTCTTAAAGTACGTTATTAAATCAAGATAAAGAGTTGATTGTGCAATGCATTTTTCTTCGTTTGAAAGTTTTATATTCATGTATGGATTCGTTGTTAAAGAATATTTCTATATTTCATTTTTATTCAGCGTCCAAGGGATATGATGTCTGTGAGATGTGGAAGGCAGAAAGGGCTGATGGAATTCTCGACCAGCTCAATTTTAAAGTCTACTGGTTGTAAAACTAAAGCTTTGGGACACGCCTGAAGTAAGATATGCAGGGAAATATGGTACATGAAAGTGTAATAGTAAATTAATTGTAATAAATTATATCTTTATTCTTAACATGTACAGATTTGAAATAACACTTGATCAAGAAATCCGTTAAATTGATATCGTTTCAATTTACTTTCGTTTCTTTGTCACTTTCGAAGTTGTTAATACCTGTTATCGCCTGTGGTTATCATTGCTTAATGTTATTTGTATAAAGATGTTGACAGCAGTATCCTTCAATGGTAGAACAGGAGTTCGAATCCCCAAACATTCTCGCCCTTTCAGCCGTGGGAACGCTATAATGAGTCCATCAATCCCAATTTTCGTTGGTAAAAGCGTAACCCAAGAGTTGGTGGTGAGTGGTGAGACTAGCTGCCTTCCCTCTAGTCTTGCAATGCTAAATTAGGTACGGCTAGCGCAGATAGCCCTCGTGTAGCTTTTCGCGAAATTCAAACCAAACCAAAATGCTAAGTAAATGCGAGAATTCGTTGAACCTAGGAAACCTTGTATTAATCAGTCTGATAGGTGATATGAACCTGACTGTCAATCATAAGAAACTGCAGGTACACACGCCGTATTTATGCTTTACACATAACAAAGATTGTATTCTGTGTCATGCTCTTTCTCCAATCTCGTTATTCTATCTATCAGTAACCCAGTCAGTAAGCATTCTAGCAATACTTCATAATTCCATATCCTTAATAAATCTCCTGTTTAGCGGACTGAACTGGTGAAGCTCTAACGTTAATTAAGGTTACCTATATTCCACATTATTAGCGAGTATTACAGAAAAATGTAAACTATAAATTTTTCAGAAATTTTGATCTATATAAATTTGATATCAGGTTTTTATAGTAAGATTGATTTAAATGGATCATCCAAAAATCAAAATTTATAGTTTACAATAATTTTACTGAATTTTCGATAATTTTTGCTGATCTTTTTTGAAATAAGTTTGTCATTTTAATGGTAATTGAAATGGAAGCAAACAGGCCATCTTTCACATCTTTCAAAAATATTTGATTGTACAAAATCTTGATCATTTGGGCACAAACCTTGAAAATAGCAAACTCTTTAACACACCATTTATAAAAAGCAAATCCTAATGTGCAAAAATAATCTGTATTGGATTACTAACCTGTAAAAACTTGTCAAACCAGCGGTTACCACTATTGAAATCACTACCACCTCCATGGAGAATGTGACTTGCCATTGTTTCCACCTCAAGGTTAATTGACTCCCTACGGATACTGGAGTAGTTGGGCTTGGAGGTCAGTGGCTCATCTAGACACAGTAGAAACAAACTACTTTCCAGCATGTTTAAAGAGTGTTTATTGACTCCACCTATAATTTCAAATTAAATAATCAGAAACTTGCAGAAAGGTTAGTAAATACTTATGGAAATGAGCATGTATATAGCATGTTATAATGTGATATAACAATTTAAAGGTTTTTTGTAGTGAATACACCCACGAGTAAATTGTTTGTCTATATGTTTAGCCTTAGTTCGCTTCCTATGTACGTTTTCAAAGTAATTTCTAAAATTATCCCAAGTTTTGAACTACTGCTGACACTGTCTTTGCCATTCCATATATTGTTTTATAATGATACCAATATGCTACGAAATACACGATTTGACAGTCAGTGAATATTATTCTACACAAAGCGGTATTGGAATGTAAAACTCACCAGATATAAAATACAATTAGCATTTGACAGAGTTGTTGTATTTCTGTAATCAAACGACATTTGATTGTACTTTTAAAGTTTTAGTCACACAGAAAGTCTTATTTCAAGAATATTTTGAATGATTGATAAAACAGTACAATATAATAGAGAAACAAATAAAATACATTACAGATGCATATTTTATATAAACAAAAGCAGATTTTTAAAATGAATACTCAAATGCTAATCACGTCACATGATTGTAGTGGGCTTATATAAAAAGATATATCTTTATATAATAATTTTGAAATGTGAAGACAGCTAGTTAATAATACCCACTGCTAACTCTTGAACTACTCTAATCGAACAGTGAGATTTGACTGTCACTTTTGTAACGTACCCACTACCCCAAAGTATAGAGCACGATCATTTATTACTTATTTGGGGCAACGGACGTGAATCATGAACTCTCGAATCCACAGTCTAGCACGTTAATCACTAAACCACTCTCAGCTCATATAGGGAAAACTATTAAATCAAAGAAATGTAAAAATGTTATTAGATAAAATTCTGGATAAATGTTTTTCTTACGGTGATGAATGTGGTGGTCTGGTATTAATTCTAACAAACAATTTCTATGATTATGAGAGAAACTGTTAGTAGATACATAAGTAAAACCCTATAAAGTTCACATTATGTAAGGGAACTGTCAGCTGAAGGAGCCAGTGCCGACTGGATCTTTTCTTCATTTCTCTAAAGGCAAGAATCCTCATCATAGCCCAGTCATACAAAGAAATATTATAATTAGTCTTTTCTGGGAGGTTTCGTTGTACAACTAAAAACGTTTTGTAAAAATTACCCAAAACGAGCTAAAATTCAAAAACTGTGAAGGATTTAGTGCACTCAGAAGTTATCCCTAATTGGTTGTTAAATCACTTTTATGTGAACAAGCGTGCAAATCCTCATAAAGTATAACCTGTAACCAACCTCCTCAAGGTAAAAATTTTAAACTCCAAAAGGTAAAGCAATTAGTTGATGACAAGAAGATAAGGTCAAATTAAGTTTACGAATGTAACCAACAAATTAACTACGAGTTGTTAAATACAGGTTTATATTTTTCCCCACGAAAAGTAATAAGCAGTTTCAAAAGTTCAGCTTAAATAGTGAATTGATCTCGACTTATTCCTTCAATTCACGACAAGAATATAACTGGCCCTAATAATTAACGTTTCATTGACAACACACACTGTCCGAGATAGCCAACCATACAAAATATAATAAACCAGTTCGTGTGCAGGCAGGTAAAATCTCAAGGCTATAACTAGAATATGAATATTAACTACATTGGAATTACAACATGTTCAAAGAACAATGGTATGCTCACTTTGGACAAGCAAATTATTCCAACCAAACCAAATCACTCCAGCTCCAACCAGAAATCAATATGTTAAACTGTATGAGTTCTAACTAGATGACTAACTTACAGCTCTCTATTTAACCGTGTATTTGTCCAAAGAATATTTACTAAGAAAAATCGCATTTAGATAGCTGAATACTTATCTCTAATCTGGACTGTTTCAAGAAAATGAGAAATACACTTATTTTGTGGTGATTCACTAAGCAACTATTATGATGTACCCGAAGACACTTTGTTTCAGTCTTTCAATTGTGAGCACTCTTTGTTTGGTGCACAAATCCAACCTACGAGTGTAAAGACTTATATGGAGTAAGTAAAGACTTCTGTTTTTGCATGTTGCTATACCTGTACTGTAGAGTTCAATTAATTTTGATTGCGTATTTTTATAATAGTGGCCAAATATTGTTTAGCAATACTGTAATTTTCTTGTCAAAAATAGAGAAACTATCTAAAAATTATTGTTATTAGAATACTTAGGTATCATCTCAGTTTTATAGTGAGGATTGGTTGAATAAAAAACAACTCTTATTCTAGATTTCCTATAAGTTATATTATTATGGTTAACACATTCGATATGACATACATATATATATATATATATATATACATATATAAACTATTTAGAACTATAAGTATTTTAATCTATAATATAAATATTATGTTACTTTCTTATTAACCATAATGTTATGTAGGAATTCATGGATTGAAAGTGAGCCTCTTCTTCATAATTAGAAAAATTCTATTGGGCCTTTACTGCCATCTAGTGACAAGAAAACACAATCGTATAATGTCCCAAACCGTAAAATCTTCAAACGTAAAAAAAAAAAAGAAAAAAGAAAAATAAATAAAATACTGAAGAGTCAACTAGTGAAAACAGTTAAAATTTAGCCTTGAGGTTATCAAAAACAAATGATCTGACAGTTAAATTTTTCTCGACTCTGAATTATGAATGAATATATCCTTGTATCCTGGACTTAATTCGACGCCATTCAAACTCTCTGGCGATAACGAATGACATACATTAAAGCAACAATTCGAGTTTCGACAGTTTGGTTATGAAGAAACAATTAAACTCATCTTTCGAAAACAAGCAGTATTTCCTGAAACATCAACATGTCGTGAAAGGGTCACTTGGGATAGTTTTTGAAACTAGTAAAAATTGTTGAGAAAGAGAAAATTTCTGTCACTAAATTTCAAGAGATGATCTATAGATGTTCTTAGAAGCGTAGAAAAGTTACCGGGAAGAAGAGCAAATACAAACAAAAATATCAGCCTATGGATTTAGTCAAGGTTATGAGAATTCATCAATATCAAGTCATATTGCAATAAACAGATTAAATTACAGAATTTCGTAAAAACTGAAACTGTAAAGAAATACGTAAATAGTCTTTAACTCAAGCTGATGAATTTGTCAGGAACAAGGTGATAAGAAAATGAAACGCACTACTCCTTATCATAGTTAGTGGCCTATACGATTACATAAGTCTAGTTATTTTTTTAACAGAAACCGACCACGAACTAGTTCATGTCCTACATTTTGGCTACTAGTCTACTTCCTTCTTCAGGGAAATCCCGAGAAGGATTGTTTCTGTTGATCTTCGGTTTTATTTGTTTGTTGTTCAGCACAAACCTACACAATGAGCTATCTGTGCGCTGCCCACCACGGGTATAGACACCCTGTTTTTTAGCGTTATAAACCGATAGACTTACCGCTGTGCCACTGGGGGGAGGGGAGGGTCTTGGTAGTAAGGATGGCGTGCTATCCATTCATTCGTACAGGATTTCTCCCATTAGGACTTTAATCAACTAACTATTTGAATGCTTTAAAGAGGAGTATGCAGGTTTTGCTGACTAATTTTCCAAGTTAACCGAGTGTATTATTGGTTAAGTGGATGTAAAAGGCTTTGATATTTCTTTTCTCGTGTGCAATGCCTATTTCATTCTTTTTGTATTATTGTATAGTATTGCTTAATGGGTTATTGCAAATAGGTCGGTATTACAGAGTCTTAATAGTAAATTGTCAATTGGTATGTTCCCCTAAATAAAACTACTTCATTATGCATGTAAATCGTTCTTTGTCAATTTACTATTATATTAGCATAATGTACTTCAATACGCAAGTATTACACAGTCTTGTATACCTATTACTCTCCTGAATTTCAATTTTATTGGGCTTTATATTTCTCCATTGTATTAGAGTTCACCCAAACACAAAGGAGGTTGTAAATTGTGTTTTTATTCTCCATTGGGTCTTTATGTGATTCAGTGTGTACTAGCTGTGACCATATTGTGTTGTAGTTTCAGAATTGTATTCTGACTTTATGCTGTTTTCATATCCTGCGTATATTTTCAGATAGGCTCTATCATACCTGCTTTTCCATGATCGAATCACGACCTATGTTGACAAAGTCCTCCTGAGGACTTTATTGAAGAAGAAAACAGCAGGTTAACACATAAACGTATGGTGTAAACAAGTCAGAAATCAAAGTCTTCTAAAGAACACATAGCTAACTAATAAGTAGACTAGGGTTATTATATAGCTATATAGGTTATATTTATATTCAGTCCCTATGAGAGAGCTTTCTACATGGCGAAGAAAATTATATAATGGAATAATTAAAGTAAACAAAGTTTCTTTGCGAAAATAGTAACATTGAAATCCTATCCAGTAACCCATTTTCTTTAATGAAAAACTTTCCTCAGCCTGGGAGATCCGACCTTTGTTAGCAAAAGTTTAACAAACATCTTTAGAATTTACAAAAGCTCTATCCTCAAATGAAATAAATAACCTAAAACATTTTATAAACAAAATCTAGCAAGGAATAAGCAAATTCTGCTAACATTCCTACGTGAATTTGTTTGTTTTGAAAAGTAGGTAGTTTTCAAAAGTTATAAGTATCAGTCTGTGACAATACATTAAACAAAATCTATGCTTTGAACTTGAGTAAAACTGTCCGAAATTTCAAAGAAGAAATTCGAAATATTTTGTTTAGAGTTACAAGTCAACAGAGAAATACAGCTACATCAAGTAGACTCCATTGATCTCAACCTCTAATGAAATTAACAGTAAACAATTTCTCTTACTTTGAATAAAACTCATATAAAGCACCCTGAAGACTCAAGTTGTATCGTTTATTTGATTGGGGGTTTTCCTTTATAATGAAAAAAATATGAAAATAAGTAACGTCCACCGAATAAAAACCTTTGAATCTCGATGTGCCTCTGGTGAAACATTGTATCACTAAGACAAGTATCTTTTAATATGTAATCATTTTAAACATGAGACTTTCCTTATAATCATCCCGTAGAATTCACTAAAGGCTCAATTTATGATTTTGTTATTGGAAAGGTTTCCTTCATCGCAAAAAAATAAACAAAAATATAGCGATAAGCAAGCAAAGTTCAATAAAAACCTAGTTTGTGAAAACTCTTTTATTTGAAAGTTTCTCTCAAAGAGAATCAAGCTAACTTCACTGAAAGATTCTGATGATACTGTTAGCAAGAAGTCGTTTCTCTTGGTGAGTGAAATATCGAAATACGAAACTAGAGTTTACTGAATAGTTTATTTGTGACTATTCTTTTAGTGAAATTTTTCATTAATAGTGAATGAGACTAGTTGATGATAAGTAAGAATATCTATATATCAAGCATTTTGTTTTGTTTGTATGTTACTAAGTGCAAAGCTACACAACGGACTATCTGTGCTGTGACCACTGCCGGTATCAAAAAGAACCAAGAAGACAAAAGCCTGGCCTATGATGTAAGGGTTATAGGAATATCTCCATCATTGTAAGTAAACCTTTCGAAAACAGCTGATAGAATCCTCCAAAACTTTAATGTGTGACAAAATGCATAGTAGTAAATTTACTCTTGGAGTCTATAAACATACTGAAGGCGTAGAACTTGAAACCTACAAAATACCCAATGTGTGTTAAAACATTTTTGTTAAAAGCTATCCCACATTTTGGGAAAAATCTGTTTGTTTATAAGAACGATATTCCTCGAAAACCGAAAAATGTAATGAAATTGTTATTGTGCAGATTTTATATTTGTAATATATAAGATAATTTAGCGACAAGTAACCCAAATTTATAATGTGTGATGAAACGATTATTGATATTGAACATAATCATCTGATGAGGTTAACTAAAGCGAACCTAACATAAAATATTTGTCTGTTCTAGTATGTTAACATGTAAGCAAATTTCATCAAGTTCACAACACTTATTGGTTTTAATAGATAGCCTCGATTCTCCAGTAATGAATGAAACCATCTGACAAAAAAAGCAATATTCTAAAGCTAACTCAATTGATATAAGTTAGAATTAAATTTAGCCTCTTGTTGAAAGTTTCATTCACTTTAACGATATCGCCTTATATTGGTGGTTACTCCTCGAGGTGTATGAAGAAAAATAATGATAAATAGTCAACTTCACATTAAAGATTATTTCAAGAACGTTTTTAAATTTAGTAACCAGAATCTAAACTGAGACTCTACCTGGTGTTTTTAGAGAGAAAATTGGTTTATAGTAATATTAGTGCAGTAGATAATTTAATAAACATCCTGCGTCAAAGATAATAGATTTACATTCCTGTGCAGATTCAAACAAAACCGAAATCAGTTACTATTTACTTTTTTGAAGTTTGTGGTATGTACCAGCCCAGCATCTTCTGTTTTGCGTTGTTAATAGACCTATTGGTGGTTCTCTTTGTTCCTGATCCTTAGACATTTGAACAATTGCACCTAATTTTTCCACTAGGATATCTTCTTTTATGTCGTTTTTTGTGTCACCTAGATGTAGGATATAGAACTGAAAGAAAATACATAATAATGATAAATATCTAT